AAAAAAAGCCTCTTAAAATTGTTAAAGACCAAAGATGCCACTTGGAGGAGTAAGCTGTGACTGACTCATGCCATGGTATTTTCAGTAGCTCCATATATATGTGAGAATTGGACAATGAATAAATTAGAATGCAAATGAATTGACACATTTGTGTTGTGGTGTTGTCCAAGAATACTGAATGTATTGCTAGAATAACAAACAATCTGACTTGAAGGAAGAACAGCTGGAACAATCCTTGGAAGCAATGGCCAGACTATGTCTCATGTACTTTTGTTATTTTGTCAAAAACGACCAATCCCTGGAGATAAATATCATACTTGGTAAACCAGAGGGTCAGCAAGAAATGGGAAGACCCTCAGCAAGATGTATTGATACAGGGGCTGCAATGATGGGCTCAAGCATAGCAGCAATTGGGAGGATGGAGCAAGTTTGGACAGTGTTTTTTTTTTTTTTTTTTTTTTTTCCAGTTGTACAGAGTGTTGCTATGAGTTGAAACTGACTCAGTGGCATCTAACAATCTGACAACTAAAGGACAGTCTAGTTCCATTATCGATATTTCTGTATTTCTTGTATAGATAATTCAGATTTCCAGGCAGAAAACATTTTTATCAGATTAATGGACTGATCTATCTTGCCTTCTTTTGCAACATCAAATCATATTGCAAAACACAGAATCCTTTTTCCTATGTAAGCAGCAGTATTCTAGGAAATATATTTCATTTACTGCTATCATCAGAGATTATTTTGCACAGTCTTTGCTGTGCTGTCATAAAAGCAGTATATTATTTACATTTTATTTTTTACATAATTTTTAACTTCACCGATGTGTCACTATAAAATATTATCTTTTGAATACTCTATATGCATATTATTTAATATGTTTATGGGTGCTTGATAAGCCATAATTCCTTTAAAATATTTCCTGCTGATGCCATAGATTTCAACTACCTTTATTTAGTCAAATTCATGTATTTTCTTCCAGACAGAAGCTCCTGTGATATTAGATAGCATGCTTAATAGGAATGGTAGTAAAATAAGAGCTATTGATAAATTTTCTTAGATGTTCACATGAAACAGATTTTGCAGATACATAAGTTCCTCCAAATGCCCTAAAATACCATTCACTTGATTCATTATTTGTGCTATTGTCTCTGCTCTATTGTCTTCTGCTCATCTCCCAAAGTCCAAATAAACTTACTCTGAAGAATAATTCAATTGCTATTACTTCATAAAATCACCACAATTTCCAAAGAGAGAGATTATACTTTCAACTGTATATAGGCCTGTTCTCTTCTATCCTGCATAACAGCATTCCATATATTGTATTACATATGTGTGTGTATGTGAGTAGTGCCTAAGGCATTTGACTGGTAACCAGAAGGCTGGTGGTTCAAACTCACCAGCCAATCCTTGAAAGGAAGGTTGTTTCCGTAGTGATATTGCCTCAGAAACCCAAGGAAGGGTCTCTACGATTTGGATCCGACTAGTCGTCAATGAGTTTGTTTTGGTTTGGTATGTACATATAAAAATATACATGTGTATACACACACATTTGTGGATTTTTTTTTCCTAATGAATCAATATCTTCTCCTCGCTCCTTGTCACACACAGCATACAAAATAATGCCTACTATGTAGTAAAATATAGCAACTGCATAGGATAGAGTAGAACTGCCCATAGGTTTTCCGAGGCTTTAATGTTTAAGGAAACAGATTGTCATGTGGCTCTAATGGTTTAAACCGATAAGCTACTAGGTTTAAACTACCAACCTTTCTTTTACCATCTGAACACTTAATCACTGTGCCACCTCTATGGTTAGAATTGACTTCTTGGGAATGGCAATGGTATAGAGTCAATTCAATTTAATTTAAACTGAAAAGCTTACTAATATTTTACCATAAAGCTTTATAATGTGAAACTATTTTACATATGCTGTTGCTGTTGCTGTTATGTGCCATCGAGTCGGACCCGACTCATAGCGACCCCTCCTTGGGTTTCCGAGGCAGTATCACTACGCAAGTAGATTGCCCCATCTTCCTTCCGAGGAGTGGCTGGTGGGTTTGAACCACCAGCCTTCTGGTTAGCAGTCAAATGCCTTAGGCACCACGCTATCAGAGCTCCTACATATATTACTTTACATATATTACTTTAGTTTTATCAAATATTACCTAAAATACAATTCAGAGTTTCAGTTTAAAATGATCTAGAATTACAGATGTTTCTCACCAAGTGCCAGTCCTTTCTATATTTTTGTTAGGCAAATACATACATACACACACACACACATACACACATTGTTGTTAGGTGCCTTTGAATGGGTTCTGAGTCATAGTTACCCTATGTACAACAGAACAAAACATGCCCTGGTCCTGGGATATCTCTACACTCTTTGTTATGTTTTAGCCAATTGGTGCAGCCACTGTGTCAATATTTCTCATTGGGGGGTCTTCCTCTTTTTCTGTGATCCTCTACTTCATCAAGCATGGAATCCTTCTCCAGGGATTGATCCCTCCTGATAACCTGTCCAAAGTATGTAAGAAAAAGTATTACCATCCTCGTTTCTAAGGAGCAATCTGGCTATACTTCTTCCAAGATAAATTTGTTCATTCTCCTGGTAGTCTATGGTATATTTAATATATTATTATTATATGTTATATAATAATAATATCATATTAATATAACATACTATTAGTACACTACCAATAATCAATTCTTATCTCTTCCTTATACATTATCCAGCTTTCACATGCATATGAGGCAACTGAAAATACCATAGCTGGGTCAGGCATATCGTAGTCTTCAGAGTGATGTCTTTCATTATTTTCTCTGTTTATCATAATATTGTTTATTGGTCCAGTTATGAGGATTTTCATTTTCTTTACATTGACATATATTCCATATTGAAGGCTGTAGTTTTTGATCTTCATCACTAAGTGCTTCAAGTCTTCTTCAGTTTCATTGAGTAAGGTTGCATCATTTGCATATCTCAGGTTGTTTATGGGTCTTCCTCCAATCCTGATGCCATATTCTTCTTCACATAGTACAGTTTCTTGAATTATTTGCTCCATATACAGACTGAACAAGTATATTGAAAAGATACAACCCTGATAAATACCTTTCCTAATTTTAAACCACACATTATTCCTTTGTTCTTCCTGAAAGACTGCCTCTTGGTTTATGTACAGGCTCTGCATGAGCTTAATTAAGTGTTCTGGAATTCCTATTCTTCACATTATTCAGAACCTGTATGATCCATTCAGTCAAATTAATTAAGTCAAATTAAGCATAAGGCTTAATCAATAAGACACAGGTGAATATCTTTCTGTATTCTCTGTTAGATCCATCTGATATCAGATAGATACATATACATTCCCAGAAACAAATGTGTATCTATATTTATGTGTATCTATATCCATATCAACACCAATGAAGCAGAAGTAAATCAGCCATTGTATTGAACTAGGCAAATCTACTGCAAAAGACCTCCTTAAAGTGCTGAAGAGCAAAGGTCTCTTTGAAGACTAAGGTGCGCTTAACCCAAGCCATGAAATTTTCAGTCACTTCATATGCATGTGAAAGCCAGACAATGAATAAAGCAGACTGAAGAAGAGTTGATGCTTCTGATTTGTGGTGTTGGCACAGAGTACTGAAAATACCATGGACTGGCAGAAGAACTAAGAAATCTATCCTGGAAGAAATGAAGCCATAAAGCTCCTTGGAAGTGACAATGACCAGCCTTTGTCTCACCTATTTTGGTCACGTTGTCAGAAGGGATCATTCCCTGGAGAAGGATATCATGTTGGTAAAGTAGACGGCCAACAAAATAGGGAAAGGCTCTCAACAAGATGATTTGACACAGTGACTGCAACCATGGGCTCACAAATAGCAGGAATTGTGAGGCTGGCAAAGGATTGGGCAGTGTTTCATTGTGTTGCACATAGGGTCACTATGAGTTAGAGCAGACTCGATGGCATCTAACAACAATAATATATCTATACTTAGACTTATCTAGATATTGTTGTTGTTATGTTGTTGTTATGTGCCGTCGAGTCAGCCCCATCTCATAGCGACCCCTCCTTGGGTTTCCGAGGCAGTATCACTACAGAAGTAGGATTGCCCAACCTTCCTTCCGAGGAGTGGCTGGTGGGTTTGAACCGGCAGCCTTCTGGTTAGCAGTCAAGTGCTTTAGTCACTATGTTACCAGAGCTCCTTATCTAGATATAGACATGTACAAATATTGTAGGATATGATAAGCTTCAAAGTTTATCACATCATATTTCTTTCAAGTGCTGAATTAAATCCTGCTTACTTTTTGGTGATTTTAAAAATATCAATTAGCATTTTTTTTTCCTCAGGCTCACAGCTTCTAACTCTTTGCTCTCTAATGTTTTCTTCCTAGTTCTGTCCCTTTGAATTGCTTTTAAAGAATAACTTGCAGGTAATTTTTTTTTTTTTTCCCACAAAAACATCTTGATAGTTGTGCTTTATAAAGTCATTTTTAAGAAGTCATTACACAAGTAAAAATTATTTGACTTATTCCAAAACCCTTAGCATGTATCATAATTTTCCATTTTAAAGTAATTATTGATTTTCAAATACATGCAGATTCCATTTCTCAATTCATTTTGGTTTTTCAATGACTTTAAACAAAAGGTGTTGTATTTAAATTATGTTTACTATGTGGTGACAAGTGGTCAACCCCTATTTCCTGTTCTAAAATAACTTTAGATGCAGTGTTGTGGGATGAACATCTTAAACTGGAATCAATAAGAATAGAAAGAGTGAATATCTTCTAGCAACATTAAATATTTCATCTTATAATGACTAAAACTATTGGTTTTCCATGTACTTCATTCAGTGTAGCCAAAACTGTAATTCTCTCGACTGTATCACTTCTCTTAATATATGACTTTTACTCGGAGACCAAGCAAACATGTCATATTCTATGAAGAAACAGCAGAAAGAACAAAAAGAAGTTAGAGAATTAATCTTTTACTTACGGAATGCTCTATAAAATTCTTCAAGTGCCAGGTGCTTGTCAGAGTTAAAATCATCATATTTCAGCAGATCATACAAAGTACAATCAGATAGATCCTTGCTAAATTCTTCCTGTTTTATTACCTGATGAGAGAATTACAAATATATAATTAAATCTCTGAATATTTTTATGGTGAAATTAAGTATTTCTAATAATCATTCAACCAATTGCTATCTAGTCAATGCTAATTCATGTACTATCATGGATTTCTAGTTGTTGTTGTTATGTGCCGTCGAGTCGGACCCAACTATAGCGACCTCTCCTTGGGTTTCCGAGGCAGTATCACTACAGAGTTGATTGCCCAACCTTCCTTCCGAAGAGTGGCTGGTGGGTTTGAACTGCCAGTCTTCTGGTTAGCAGTCAAGTGCCTTAGGCACTATGCTCCCAATGGACTATTATTTATAACCATTTGAAAATAAAAAAAATTTAGATTATTGTTATTGTTAGTTGTCATCCAGTTGATTCAGACTTGTGACAACCTCATGTGTTGCAGAGAAGAACTGTATTCCACAGGGTTTTCAAGGCTCTCATCTTTCAGAAACAGATCATCGGTCTAGTCTTCCAAAGTACCTCTGGATTGATTCAAACCTCCAACTTCTTGACTAGCAGTTGGTGCTTACTTGCTTACACCACCTAAACCAAACCAAACCATGTTTACCAATGCCACTGCCAACAGTCAATTCCAACTCACAGCAACCTCAGAGAACAGAGTAGAACTGCCCCCATAAGGTTTCCTAGGTTGCAAATCTTTATGGAAGCAGACTGCCTCATCTTTCTACTTCAGAGAAGCTAGTGGGTTCAGACCATCGACCTTTTGGTAAGCAGGCAAATACCTTAACCACTGAGCCACCAGAGCTCCTTTCACACCATCCAGGGACTCCTAAAATTAATACAGATACATAAAATCTAGTGCAAATTTTCTAACACACAATCTCAGAGTAAGACCCAGAAAATCTGAGCAGTAAAAAAGGACATTCTGTAGTTCATTCATTTACTTCCTCAATTTACAATGACTCAAGAAAATACCGCCTCACGAAAATTGCTTACTATGTCTCAGTGACCCGTGTCAAGATAGAACAGTTCTGTGTCCCAACAAAAATAGTGAGGCTGTTTGTGCCAACTTTCTTCCTCATGTTATATGTGTAAAATGAAGTTAGAAATATTTTTTGTCCTCTGCCTAAACTCTTTCCCAGCTGGAAGTTAAGCCATTTGGGATTGTGTGTTAACTCTCTCATTCACGAAGGAGCTATTAAGTAAACGACTGTTTCCAGGAGCCAGATAGAATTAATGCACCGATTGATGATGAAAACCTAGCCAGGCGTGGGTGAAGAAAATCATCAAAAACTGCTTTTCGATCTGTGCTGTGTCCTATGGACTGAGGCTCTAGCTTTTTTATACTCTGCTGCTTTTGACTATTGACTGCCACATAACAGAGTTCCTCAAATATTTCATATGTTCTTATTGTGAGTAGCTACAAGCTAGGTCCGCTGTCTTTCAAATCACCCCACATGCAGAATCAGTAACTCATATTGCTATAGTCCATACAGCAAAGTAAAAGTTTTTAAACGTAGATGTAGTGTGATCAGTAAAAACAGGCTCCAAAGTCTGATAGCCCTGCTTTCATGTCCTGTTAATGATACTTAACTGATTTATAATTTTGAACAAATCACTTAATATTTCCTCAATTATAAAATGAAGGCAAACTCAAACATCTATTCTCATAGTTGTTCTGAAGATTAGATTATATATATATATATAAAGTATAAAACCTGACATATAAACGTTCAAAAAGAGTCACTTACATTTAAGAACTATGACTCTATATAATGTGCATCTTGTTCAAATAATTCCTGCTACATTTGCAGAGACTAGCATGCTATGCCTGCTATACACAAAGGGTTATTGTTTCTTTTCATATAAAACAGCATGCGTCAGACCGTCTTTGTTATATAGATGGTAGATTGGTGATGGTCATCTCTATAAATCTCTATGAGCTATTCATATTGTGAGCTATTCATTTAACCCTTTTTTGAACTCTGCTGAGTTGAAAGCTTAGCTATGCCTATGTGTGGATGAGCTATGGAGACAGGGCTAGAGACGGAGCTTAGCATACTGAACACTAGAGCCCCCAGCCTCTCTCTCTAGCTGCCTGAGTGGTGATATGCAATGAGAGCATATGTGCTGCTGAGCAGTATGTCTACAATATAGTGACTTCTCTGATCTTGCGTATGACCTTGAAATTTCTTTGATTAAAGTGACCTTTGCTGCTTTAGAAGGGAAAAGGGGGTAAAAGGCTTATTGCTTTAACTGATCCATATAAATAGATATTGTAGTAGAGGATATTAAGCACTACACTTTTGTACATTCCAGCTGGAGAGATTAATAAAATTATCTAATGACTGAAGCCTTCTCTCCTATAAGCCTAATGGGAAAACAAAATACTGCTTTTCTATTTAGAAAGCAACAGAGCTCTCAGTCATTCTCCATCTGGTCTGTGTTAGATCATAGAAAATGAGTTTTCCCAGGGGATGGAGAGGGGAAGCAGTAGATTTGTCCTTACCTCACTATGCCATCCTAAAGATCTGCAATGCTAGTATTGTGATAATTTTTAGAATTTAGTGACACCAGGTTGTGGGCAGGAATTTTAACAATATTTTTAGTGATTTTTTTTTAATCTGATACCTATTTTTGAATATATGGAGATGGAAAACTGGAGGAAAAGCCTTCATAATATCCTATCTTACAACTATCGGTTTCAATATTCAATTTTATTTAAATTAATATCCTGTATTAGACCATAAGATAGAGTGAGAGAATCTCTTCTACTTCTTTCCTGAATGTTAGTTCTTGCATAAGAATAGATCATGGGACAGTCAGCTTGATCTTGATCAAAAAAATAAGCTAGGCATATTATTTTGCTGAGTGTGAACCAAAGCAACTCATGGTCCTGGCCAGTAAACTTTAAGAAAAATCCTTGCTCACCTATTCTGAGCAGTGTCCATGCATAGACCAAATGCCATCAGGTCAATTCTGACTCATAATGACCCTATACTATAGGACAGAGTAGAACTACTTCATAGGGTTTCTGAGGCTATAAATCTTTATGGAAGAAGCCTGCTTCATCTTGCTTCTGTGGAGTGACTGGTGGGTTCAAACCATCAACCTTTTGGTTAGCAGGCAAATATTTTAACCACTGCACACCAGAACTCCTTGTCTATGCATAGGAGATATGCAATTCATTACCTATTCATCAATATGTCAAATACAAGTTCAGCATGTTTACCCCCAAATTTGGATAATGGAATGATCAATTTAAAACACATTTCTTAATAACTCTATTTATCTCTTTTTAATTTTCCTGCTAGTAAGTTGTGAAACACTCTAGAGTGTCCCTAATGAGGGACATACTTCCCCATTGAAAAATGTCCTGAGATAGTCAAAATTTGGAGGCAATCTTGCCATGTGAAAAGTTTCCCCCTCTTGTAATGTAAAGGCGAATAACAGAGAAGAGAGATAGGAATTCAGGTCTTAGTAGGCAAAGCATGAAATGATGAAAAGCAGGGTTTGGTTATGTGAAGTGCATGATCTTTAAAATTAGAGGGATGAACTCTTGTGTTATAAATGGTCCTGGTTAATAGCCTTGAAGTGAGAAGAGTTTGACTGTCAGGGAGAATGCATAATAGAATATAGATGTAGATTTTTTTTCCCCAGTACACAAAGAACCCTCATGGTGCAGTGATTAAGCTCTTGACTAACAAGCAAAATGTCAGAGGTTCTAATCCACCAGCCATTCTGAGGGAGAAAGATGTAGCAGTCTGCATCTATAAAGATGTACAGCCAAGAAAACATTATGGGACAGTACTGTACTGTACTCTGTCCTACCGGGTCCCAATGAGGGGAAATCAATTTGACCACATTTTTTTTTAACCCCGTATGCAATGTGTATCTATATATGTGTGTGAGTTCTGATAGCCTAGTGCCTAAGGCACTTGACTGCTAACAAGAAGGCTGGTGGTTCAAACCCACCAGCCACTCCTTGGAAGGAAGGCTAGGCAATCTACTTCTGTAGTGATATTGCCTCGGAAACCCAAGTTGGTCCAACTGTGAGTCGGGTCCGATTAAATGGCACATAACAACATGTGTGTGTGTGTGTGTACACATACATACATGTGTGTGTGTGTGTATATATATATATATATATATATATCATGTTTGTGAAACCAAGTAAAGTAAAAACTATTTCCCCCAGCCTGGCACCCAGATGGGAATAGATAAGTAAACTAATTACCCCCAACTATTTTCCCACCCCAGACAGATGAATATTCAGTTCCTTAAAGAACTGATTGGAAAACATTCCTTCCTGCAGATGATAGACTTGCTAAAAGTATCTTAGAAACAACTTGTAAATTAACTCTGGCCTGGGGACAGGAGCAATAGGGCAAAAAGGAACAAAAGTTAATTGCGACCCTCTCCCCTCTGCCCAAACCCCTATCAGATGATAACAGGAAGCTAGTGTGACTCACCCATTTCATGTTCATGCCCCAAATTCCTCAACCTTTTGTGAGTATGCACAACCCCCTCTCCTGAAACCTACAAAACTGTGTTTCCATGGCATCTCAGGGAGTTAGATCTGGGTGTTAAACTACCCCTATTCCTTGCATTGCTGTTTTGCAATAAATAATTTTCTCTCCTCTCAATCTCGGTGTGTAAACTGTTTTGGCCTGACTGCACACGGGGCAGGGACCCACCTTTGGTCTGATAACATGTGTGTGTGTCTGTGTGTGTATATATATGTGTGTGTGTGTTGTTTTGTGTGTATATATATGTATGTGTGTGTATACACACACATATACATATATACATATATATATATATATATATATATATATATATGTATGTGTAATGCTGGTGAAGGATACTGACAGTACCATGGATTGTCAGAAGAACTAACTAATCTATCCTGGAAGAAGTACAGCCAGAATGCTCCTTGGAAGTGAGAATGGCCAGACTTCACTTGATCTTTGATCTACTTTGGTCATGTTGGCAGAAAGGACCATTCCCTGGAGAAGGATTCCTTGCTTGA